GTTCGTGCCCCGCCTATCTTCGCGATCGCATCTCCCTCTATGAACCGGTGCAAACTAAGATCTTCTGGGGAGGACCTCCTCTTGTTCCCACCACCGTCACAAGCACGGTTGATGGGGATGAGAGACAGGGCTTTCTCGGTAGTGGCCCCCCACCTCTGGAACGCCCTTCCTAGAGAAGTAAGACAGGCCCCATCCCTCCGCTCCTTTTGTAAGAGCTTGAAGACCTGGTGGTTTAAACAAGCCTTTGAGAACGACTAGTTCTAGCTCAGCCCCAGATATTGTTGAATATGGCCATATCTTTTTCTACCACTTATCCAGGTCACTTCCTCCTACTGAACAGCAATAGACTATACCTATTATTGTTGTTGTCTGCTATATAGCATTTCACCTAATTTCCCAGGCCCTCTAGAAATTGCACTAGACTCGGCATGGCCTCTTTAAATTGCCTTGAACAGGCAGGATTATTTTAAATATATATGTGCTACTGTGATTTTTAGGCTTATATTGCTTTGTTAATTTTATGTTTATGTTGCTTACTCTGTATATACTGATGATGTTACTTGGAAACTGCTCTGAGTCCCCTCGGGGAGGTAGAGCAGTATATAAATAAAGTGTTGTTGTTGTTGTTAATGCGACATAATTTCATAATTGGCTGCTACTTCCAGGCAGATGTCAGGTGGTCCAATAATAATAATAATAATAATAATAATAATAATAATAATAATAATGCCAAGTTTCATCCAGATCCATCATTGTTTGAGTCCACAGTGCTATCTAGATGTAGTTGAGCAACAACTCCAAACTCAAGCTCAATGCCCACCAAACCCTTCCTGTATTTTCTGTCGGTCATGGGAGTTCTCCGTGCCAAATTTGGTTTAATTCCATCATTGGTGGAGTTCAGAATGCTCTTTGATTGTAGGTGAACTATAAATCCCAGCAACGACCGCTCCCAAAATCAATCTGATATTTGTGCCAAATTTGGTCCAGTGAAAATACATCCTGCATATCAGATATTTACATTAGCAAAGTTACAGTTGTGAAGTAGCAACAAAAATAATATTATGTTTGGGGGTCACAACATGAGGAATTGTATTAAAGGGTCGCAGCATTAGAAAGGTTGAAAAACACTATGTAGTTCTTTAGCAACCATTGAGGACAATAATTATAAGCTATTGCTAGTGTAGCACCAACTCTTTTAAGATAATTTATACTGTTTTATGGTAACTATTATTATTTTATGCCATTTGAGTCTTGTTTTTAATGCGATCCTTTTTTTAGGTGAGTCTGAAGGAGGTTTGGAAAATGAGCTATTAATAGCGAGCAATAAAAATAAAAGATATTAGACTCTAAACAAAATCTCATGAGGTCTAAGTTATTAAAATGCCACCCACCAGCACAGAGATGATGTGGAATTGCTGGAGGATATTTAGTAAAGGTCCAAAGTTAATGGGTTTCCACTGGGAGGCCTTTTGTCTTTATATTACCGTGGCACAAACACGGCAGGGTGGTAGTTTGTGATGCTAAACAACCAAGGAAATAGCAGGAAAGGTAATATTTTTAATATTAGGGATTCATATCAATTCAAAAGCATACATCTGCAAATACTGACCTGTAAGTACGGGTTGACTGCCTCTTATCCAAGAGGCAAAGTGTTATGGATTGGGGATTTTAAAATTTTTATTTTGGAATATAGTCAGTTCTCGAAACATGCAGGTTTCACTTTTTGTTGATTTGATTATTTACATATTCTGTTAATATTTTCTCTCTATGAATCTCTAGGTCAGTGTTTCCCACCCTTCCTAATGCCGTGACCCCTTAATACATTTCCTCATGTGGTGGTGACCCCAAACCATTATTTTCGTTGCTACTTCATAACTGTAATTTTGCTACTGTTATGAATCGTAATATAAATATCTGATATGCAGGATGTATCTTCATTCACTAGACCAAATTTGGTACAAATACCCGCTACATCCAAATTTGAATACTGGTGGGTTCGGGGGGTCATTTTGGAGTTGTAACTCCTGGGATTTAAAGTTCACCTACAACCAAAGAGGATTCTGAACTCCACCAAGGATGGAGTTGAACCGAACTTGGCACACAGAACTCCCATGACCAACAGAAAATACTGGAAGGGTTTGGTGGGTGGGCATTGACCTTGAGTTTGGGAGTTGTAGTTCACCTACATCCAGAGAGCACTGTGGACCCAAACAATGATGGATCTGGACCAAACTTGGCACAAATATTCCATATGCCCAAATATGAACACAGATGGAGTTTGGGGAAAATAGATCTTGGCATTTTGGAGTTGTAGTGGCTGGGATTTATAGTTCACCTACAATCAAAGAGCATCCTGAACCCCACCAATGATCAAATTGGGCCAAACTTCCCACATAGAACCCCCATGACCAACAGAAAATACTGTGTTTTCTGATGGTCTTTGGCGACCCCTCTGACACCCTCTCACGACCCCCCCAGGGGTCCCGACCCCCAGGTTGAGAAACACTGCTCTAGCTGGATCTTATGGTCAACTTCCCTTTATAAACACAGCCGAAGGGTCATTGCATACATTAAATCTTAATAAATACACATCATAATAAAAGTGAAAACCTGTATGTGTGTATGTGACTGGGGTGCCCACTTACACAGACAAACTCCTGCCTCCACTACTATAGCTCCCACTACTCAGGAGACACCAATGGCCCTCCCTCCAATGACATTGAGAGTGTAGTAAACATGTCCAAGAGCCCTGCCAATGTCCTCCACAAACACCATACTGTCCACCATCCAAGTGAAAGCTTTCATATGGAGACAATTTCATCTGAGATTTTACATGTTTCCTCCACCACAGACATCCCAGTGTTTCTTACTCTCTCTATTGGTGTGGAATTTGCATGACCCCGCCCACTGTCCCTCCCATAACCCTTTCCTATTCTTTTCTATGGCACACAGCAAACAGAGGAATTGATCAGCAGCTGAACATACTAGAGAGGTTTGGGGAGAATTCACCATGATTTATAGGAGTTGTAGGTACTGGGATGTATAGTTCACCTGCAATCTAGGAGCACTCTGAACTCCACCAATGATGGACCTGGAACGAACTTGGCACACAGAACCCCATGAACAACAAAAATACTGGAAGTCTTTGGAGGGATTTATAGGAGTTGTAGTTCACCTACATCCAGAGTGCACTATGAACCCAAACAATGATGGATCTAGACCAAACTTAGTATGCATATCTGATATGCCCAAATTTGAATACTAGTGGGTTTTGAGGGGAATTGTCCTGGACATTTTGGAGTTGTAGGTAATGGGATTTATAGTTCACCTGCAATCAATGAGCACTCTGAACTCCACCAAAGATGGAATTGGACCAAACTTGGCACACAGAGCCCCCATGACTAGATAATAATAATAATAATAATAATAATAATAATAATAATAATAATGGAGGTCTTTGGGGGAAATTCATCTTGATTTGGGGGAAATTGTAGTTCACCTACATCCAGAGAGCACTGTGAACCCGAACACCAATGGATCTGGATCAAACTTGGCACACATGCCTGAAAAATTGAAATTTGATTACTGGAGGGGTTTTTTTTGGGTGGGGGGAGCTGACTCTCCTTTCTGGAAGTTGTAGTTCACCCACAACCAGTGAAACAGTGACCTCCACCAATGATGGACCCCCCCCCCCCATGACTAACTCAATCCACTGGAGGGGTTTGAGGGCACTGATTCACCATGGTGGGAGTTGTAGTTTACCCTACAGCCAGAGAGCACACTGAACTCCACTGATTATGCATCTAGAGCACACTTGCTCAACATAACAAACTTTAAGTACTGATGGCGTTTCTTGATGTTAACCTGGCATGATGGGAGTTGTAGTTCACCCACAATCTTAGGCATTTTGTACAAATAAAAAATTGATTTTTTCAAATAACCCAGGCAAGCTAGTTTTTAATAAAGTTTCTGCATGAATCATTTGTGAACACGGAACCATAGGAAAGCAAAACATTAGCCACACAAGGGGACAGTTTTGGATTTTGGAATGTTTTAGATTTCTTGGTAAATGATGCTCCATGCAGTCATGCCGGCCACATGACCTTGGTGGTGTCTACGGACAAAGCTGGCTCTTTGGCTTAGAAATGGAGATGAGCACCAAACCCCAGGGTTGGACACAACTGGACTTAATGTCAAGAGAAAACCTTTACCTTTAGATTTACTTACTATGTTACAAAATTTGAAAAATGTTCTGTTCCTGGTTTGAAAGTGTTATTTCCTGTTTAATTGTGCGGTCCTTACTTTGAAAGCAGTTGTTATACTCCAGAAACATAATTTTGTGGCTGAGGATAGTACTATTGGGTTGTTGTAGGTTTTTTGGGCTATATGGCCATGTTCTAGAGGCATTTTATCCTGACGTTTCGCCTGCATCTATGGCAAGCATCCTCAGAGGTAGTGAGGACCTCACTACCTCTGAGGATGCTTGCCATAGATGCAGGCGAAACGTCAGGAGAAAATGCCTCTAGAACATGGCCATATAGCCCAAAAAAACAGAGGATGCTTGCCATAGATGCAGGCGAAACGTCAGGAGAGAATGCCTCTAGAACATAGCCATATAGCCCGAAAAAACCTACAACAACCCAGTGATTCCGGCCATGAAAGCCTTCGGTAGTACTATTATTTCCGTCAGTCTAGGCACTTTGTAATTTTCCTTAATGAAAATATGCCATTTGAAACCTTTCAATGTGCAGACTGCAAAAGCAAAGTTTAATAAAATTTCCCTATGTTGTTATGATAGAACTAATTAAGAAATGACATTTATAACCCAGGAACTTTAACACTAACTTTTTGTGTGGCTTTTTCCTCTTATGTCTTTGTATGTACCTCTATGTTTGTTTACATTTTATAAGTCACCATGAATTTTAGGCAAGGTATCAATGAATTAACAAACACAACAGCAACAAACATACATAAATAAATGGCAGAAAAGTTTTGCTTACTTTATGAATTGCTTGTTCAGCATCTTTTCTAGCTTGGCCTTAATGGTGGAGAGGAAGAAGAGGAGAAAACCACATACATTATTTTGAGTTTCGACCAGAAAGAGCTTCCTTACATTTAGTTTACATAAGTATCTAATAAGACAGTCACCAGCTCCACAAGATGTCATCAGATCTAAGCCAGGAAACATCAGTTTCCATTTCTAAGAAGAGAAATTAAAACCATAGGAAGAGAACCTGCATTCAATATCAGTAGTAGCTGAACTGTGCCATTTCGTAACACATCTCTGAGTCGATGAGAACAAAAACTGGCACTGAAATTATTCTGGTAATGATAAAGAACCAAATTCTAGCGCTCCAGGTGTTTTGGGTTTCAGTCCCCAGAATCATAGAATCAAAGAGTTGGAAGAGACCTCATGGGCCATCCAGTCCAACCTCCTGCCAAGAAGCAAGAATATTGCATTCAAATCATCCCTGACAGATGGCCATCCAGCCCCTGTTTAAAAGCTTCCAAAGAAGGAGCCTCCACCACACTCCGGGGCAGAGAGTTCCACTGCTGAATGGCTCTCACAGTCAGGAAGTTCTTCCTCATGTTCAGATGGAATCTCCTCTCTTGTAGTTTGAAGCCATTGTTCCATTGCGTCCTAGCCTCCAGGGAAGCAGAAAACAAGCTTGCTCCCTCCTTCCTGTGGCTTCCTCTCACATATTTATACATGGCTATCATATCTCCTATCATAAGCCTCAGCTGCCTTTGCTTAATGATCAGGAATCTTGGGAGCTGAAGTCCAAAACACCTGGAAGACCGGAGTTTGGTAGATACTTGCAATCTACTTATAGAGGGATAAGAAATTGTGTTGAAATGTTCATTTGTTCAATTGTTTCTGACTCTTCATAACCTTATGGACCAGCCCACACCAGAGCTCCCTGTTGGCCGTCACCACCCCCAGCTCCTTCAAGGTCAATCCAGTCACTTCAAGGATGCCATCCATCCATCTTGCCCTTGGTCGGCCCCTCTTCTCTTTCCCTTCCATTTTACCCAGCATCATTGTCTTCTCTAAGCTTTCATGTCTTCTCACAATGTGGCCAAAGTACTTCATCTTTGCCTCTACTTTCTTTCCATCCAATGAGCAGTCGGGCTTTATTTCCTGGAGGATGGACTGGTTGTCCAAGGTATTCTCAGAACTTTCCTCCAACCAGCACAGTTCAAAAACATCTATCTTCCTTTGCTCAGCCTTCCTGATGGTCCAGCTCTCACATCCATAGGTAACTAAGGGGAGTTCCATTGCTTTAACTATGAAGATCTTCGTTGCCAGTGTGATGTCTCTACTCTTCACTGTTTTATCGAGATTGGACATTGCTCTCCTCCCAAGAAGTAAGCGTCTCCTGATTTCCTGGCTGCAGTCTGCATCTGCAGTCATCTTTGCACCTAGAAATACAAAGTATGTCACGGCCTCCACGTTTTCTCCCTCTATTTCCCAGTTGTCAATCATTCTTGTTGCCATAATCTTGGGTTTTTTTTATGTTTAACTGAAACCCAGCTTTAGCGCTTTCTTCTTTCACCTTGATTAGAAGGCTCCTCAGCTCTTCCTCGCTTTTGTTGAAATAGGTCTTAAGACAAAAAAAATCCCAAGACTACAGTTCCCAAATTAGATGCATTCTAGTGTTGTAGCTCAGCCTCAGCCAGGGGTTGATGATGGGTTCACTGATGATTCAGAAGGGATTGTGGGATTTCCTGGGGTTCAAAATGATGCAGATTCAGGCCAGGGTCAAAGTGTTGAAGATTTAGGCCAGAGAAGTGAAACTGGCTCAGACAGTGCCAAGCTCCAATGTCAATCACAGGAGCCAGAAACAACACAATTAGATAAGGGGTCAAGCGAAGAAAAATCTCAGTGAAATGGAAAACTCTCAAGGAAAAGCAAAAGTCTTTGTTTACAATTCAGAGCAGAGAATTGGCTCCGCAGGTACAAGAGTATGTGGGAAAGAGATAGCAAATATTCATGGGAAATGATATGATTTCATGAGTGCTTATTAACAGCTAGTTGTTTACCTTATAGTTAGTTTAGTCATCGTTGGTTTTCGAGGGAGAGGCTAGGCCGTGTCAAGTCAAGTCCTGGATTTGGATTCAAGTATCCTGGAAGTTTTCTATATTTTTGTTTTATTATTCTAGCTCAAGTTTTTCTAAGTATACATTTTGTTTATGGATTTATGCTGTAATTGTGAGTTTTAGTGATTCCTGGAATTTTTTTTCTGTGTCAGGAGCGACTTGAAAAACTGCAAGTCGTTTCTGGTGTGAGATAATTGGCCGTCTGCAAAGATGTTGCCCAGGGGACGCCAGGATGTTTGATGTTTTACCATCCCTGTGGGAGGCTTCTATCATCTCCCAGCATGGGGAGCTGGAGCTGACAGAGGGAGCTCACCCACGCTCTCCCCAGATTCGAACCTCTGACCTGTTGGTTTTTAGGGTTTAACCCATTGTGCCACCGGGGGCTCAATGTGTTACCCTTGGATTTTTATGAGACATTTGGATTTTTATGTTGCTATCACATAAACTTTTTTTTTGGATTACAGCACTCTTTTCTTATTTCCTGCTTTTTTCACATTTTTGTGGTTTTTGCAATCAATTGTTTGCTTATACTCTGGACTCTTGTGTGTGGTGCTGTTGTCACTGACATCTTGGGGTGCAACAGCTAAATCATGCAGGAACATGAGAAAATAGCCCCAAACTCACTGCACTCAAAAAAGCAAATCAACTTGTCTTACCTTTTGTCCAGGCGCTACGTGTTTATGAAAGAGCTCAACGTCATGAGGACATTTGGACAACACCATCTCCGTCACTCTCTTGAAAAGGTCTTCCATAATCTAAACAAAGTTGGCGGAGAAAAGAGAAATCTGTAGGAATACATTGCACCACCTTCAATAAGTATGCTATTCTTATTAGACACCTTTACTTTGGGATGAAGACAGTTTACAACAAATGACAGCACCGATCATTCAAACATCTTTTAAAATACTCTATAACTCTTTTACATACATTCTCCATCACAAACTTTGTAGGGCTTCGAATGTTAGCACAACACACCAAATGTAGGGCCAGGTATGACATTGGCCCTCATTAAACTCTTTAGGGTTAAATGAATCATAGAACATACTCTGGGTGCATCTACACTGCAGAATTAGTGCAGTTTGACACCACTTTAATGGCAATGGTTCAATGCTATGGAATCCTGGGATTTGTAGTTTGGCCAGATACCAGCACTCTCTGGCATGAAGATGAAGGCTCTGCAAAGCTACAATTTCCATAATTCCATAGCATTGAGCCATGGCAGTTCAGGTGGTGTCAAACAGCATTAATTCTACAGTGTAGATGCACCCTTTGTCTCTCACACAATCTTGGAAAAGTGTAAAAGATTTGAGCATTATTAAATGGTTACACACACCTTGGCAAGTTGCCTTTACAGAAAAACTAATGTATCTGCTATTAAATCAATAAAATAACAAGATAGATGAAAAAAGTGGAAACTATGATACCCGTGTATTTATAAATAATAGGACTGACAAGCTACTCATCTGTGAAATAGATGGAAAGAGTGATAATGAGAATAAGACCTAGAGAAGGAATAAGATCCAGAAAAGAGGATTTGATAAACTATAATGGACAGCATACAAGATACAGCAAAGCAGTGTTGCAATGTTTTTGTTGTTTTGTTGTTCCCTCTTCTTGGCCTATGTTGTTATCTTGTTTACATTTTTCATTCGGTTGGAATGCCGTGTTATTGTGTCTTGTTTGTTTGATTAGCGTGAAAAAGAAAATAATTATATAGGAAAAAAACAGACTGTGGTTTTGTGAAGTGGCATCTCTCCCAGAGCGTGGAAAAACATGCATCCCATGCCACCCACTTTTTTCCCATTCAAGAAAAAAAAAGAGCAATTTTTCTGTTGCAAACGGTGGGAACTTTGGTTAGTTTGTGGCTAAGATGCAGTGACAAAAGCAGGATGGAAAACCCAAGACAAAGCTTTCACTTCCTTGAAAGAGGAAGTTTTATACTCTTTAACGAAGTTTCCACAAGAGCATTAACTACACAATATGGTGATTGCAATGAAGCATTTCTACTTGGGCTTATTCCAACTAACTTTTCAAAAGGATGGAGATTCCACCGGACTCAGAGGCAGAGAATTCCACTGTTGAACAGCTCTTACGGTCAGGAAGTTCTTCCTAACGTTCAGGTGGAATCTCATTTCTTATAATTGGAACCCATTGCTCTATTGAGTCCTAGTCTCCAAGGCAGCAGAAAACAAATATGCTCCTTCTTCCTTATGGCATCCTCTCAAATATTTAAACATGGCTATCACGTCTCCTCTCAACTTTCTCTTTTCTAAGCTAAACAAACCCAGCTCTTTAAGCTGCTCCTCATAGGGATTCATGGTCTCCAGACCTTTGACCATTTTAGTTGCCCTCCTCTGGACACCTTCCAGAGGTCAATCTCTCTCTTGTGGTGCACAGAACTGGACACATGGATATTCCAGATGAGGTCTAACCAAGACAGAATAGAGAGTCACCATGACTTCCCTCGATCTAGACCAGGTATGGGTAAATCCAGGCCTAGGGACCGGATATGGCCCCTTGGGCTCTTTTCTCAGGCCCCCCACTCTCTCATCATCCTATCCTTCCATTGCACTTTCCTTCCTCCTTCCTTCCCTCCCTCCCTTACCTCCTTCCCTCCATCTTCCTAATTTCCTTGTTTTGTTCCTCCTTCCTTCCTTCCTTCCTTCCTTCCTTCCTTCCTTCCTTCCTCCTTTCCTTCCCTCCTTCTCTTCCTCCCTCCCTCCCCTCTCTCCATTTCCTTCCCTTTTCTCCTTCCTTCCTTCTTTTCTCCCTCCCTCCCTTCCTTCTCTCTTTCCTTCCTTCTTTCTCTCCCTCCTTCTTTCTCTCCCTCCTTCTTTCCTTCCTTCCTTCCCTCCTTTCTCCCCCTCCTTCTTTCCCTCCCTTCTTCCTTCCTTCTCTCCCCCTTCCTTCCTTCCTTCCTTCCTTCCTTCCTTCCTTCCTTCCTTCCTTCCTTCCTTCCTTCCTTCCTTCCTTCCTTCCTTCTCTCCTTTCCTCCTTCTTTCCCTCTTTCTCTTCTTCCTTCTCTCTTTCCTCCTTTCTCCATTCCCTTCACCCTTTCTCCATCCTTTCCTTTTCTCTTCCTTTTCTCTTACCTCTTCCCTTCCTCTCTCTTTATCCTTCCCTTCCACCCTTTCATCCTTCCTTCCCTCTTTCCTCCCTTCTTCTCCCTTCCTCTTTCTCCTTCCATCCTTCCCTTCCTTCCTTCCATCACCAGGCAGTCAGTCCCCTTAGTAGGGAGTGCTAGCATGCGGCCCCCCGGTTAGAAAGTTTGCCCATGCCTGATCTAGACAACCTACTCCTTTTGATGCAGCCCAAAATCCTATTGGCTTTTTAAGCTGCTGCATCACATTGTTGGTACATATTCAACTTGCCTTTTACTAAGACTCCAAGATCTTTCTCACATGTACTATAGTGGTTTGGGTGTTGGACTAGATGTCTTGGACACCAAACTCTGAATCCTTGCTTAGCCTTGGAAACCCTCTGGGTGACCTCAGAAGAGGCAGACTCAGAAGAAAGCAATGCTCAACACCTTCTGAACAAATCTTGCCAAGAAAAAACTCATAATAGAGTTGAATGAGGATCATCATAAATCAGGAACGATTCCAAGGCACACAAAGAGCCACATAATAGAAATGCCAGGCTTTGAAACTGGGACTTTATGTTTGCAAAGCAGGTGCTCTATGGTTGCTGCTCCTTGAAGGACTCTTCCCAGGCCTTTCCAGCTCAGCTTTTGCAAAACAAACAAACAAACAAAAAACCCCAAAACAAAAATATGCTCCCCCAAAAAACCCAAACCAAAACAACAACAACAACCAAACTACCCAAAACCTCTGCCTTCAGCTTACTGTTCTGCATCTCTTTGGAACAAATTTGTCCTTGTGAAGTCCCTATTTTGAAAGAAGCCAAGTTCCTGTTTTCTCAAGACTGTTGAGCAATTCAGATAAAAATAGAATCAAAGCGGCACTTAACATCTCAATAAAATTAATATCCCCATCTCCAATTCATATAAAATGCAGTCAGGAGCTGGGTTGCTCTTAAAGAAATGGGTGTGTGCCACAACATTTGGCTGTCCTGATGCGTAACTTGTACTCATGACAAGAATATACTGTTAGGATAGAATACAGAGCAATGGAATAGTTTCCAATTGGGTAACTCAAGACAGCCTTTAATTATCTTACCTGTTCTAAGATCAAAATGTCATATATAAAATGGGATTAGACTCAGAAGGAGGAGGTGTAAAAATCGGAGGGAGGAACACCAACAATCTGAGATACGCAGATGAGACAACACTACTAACACGAGCCACAGGATGTTCACAAATTTGTCGGGACACCCGTTTTTTTTGGAGGATGATCAAGAGCAGTGGTTCTCAACCTGGGGTCCCCAGATGTTTTTGGTCTTCAACTCCCAGAAATCCTAACAGCTGGTAAACTGGCTGGGATTTCTGGGAGTTGTAGGCCCAAAACATCTGGGGACCCCAGGTTGAGAACCACTGGTCTAGAGAGCGCTGCAATTCACTGTGTCGAATGCCTTTGCAAGGTCACTGAATGCCACGTACAGAGGTTGATTCCCTCCCCCCCCCCCTGCATTTTTCTTGGAAAGCAATGGCTCCCAAAGCGACCCATTTAAGGTGGGATCAGGTGTCAAACAGGGATGTGTTATTACTCCAACCTTATTTTCCATCTTCATCACTACAATACTTCATCTTGTTGGTGGGAAGCTTCCCACTGGAGTGGAAATCATCTATCGGACAGATGGCAAGCCATTTAACCTCAGCAGACTGAAAGCCAAAACCAAGGTCATAACATCTGTTATAGAACTCCAATATGCCGATTATAACGTAGTCTGTGCACATTCAGAAGAAGACCTACAAGCCACTCTAAACTACTTTGCAGAAGCATACGAGAAGCTCAGCCTCTCATTGAACATTGAGAAAGCCAAAGTGCTCTTCCAGCAGTCACCAGCTAATCCCTTTCCAATGCCAGAAATACAGCTTAATGGTGTAACGTTAGAAAATGTTGACCATTTCTGCTTCCTTGGCAGCTACCGCTCCACAAAAATCAACATTGGCACTGAAATACAACACCATCTGAGCTCTGCGAGTGCAGCATTTTTCTGAATGAAGCAGAGAGTGTTTGAGGATCAGGAGATCCGTAGATACCACAGTGCTTGTTTATAAAGCTATTGTCCTCCTAACTCTGCTATATGCCTGCGAAACATGGACTGTCTACAGACGTCACACTCAACTCCTGGAATGATTCCATCAGCATTGCCTCCCAAATCCTGTAAATCTATTTGGGAATCAACAAAAAGGTAAACTCTACTTTTTCAGCGGGCAGGCACTAGTAAGATCTTACAACAGCATTTATGTAGTTGTTTCACAGCCTAACAAAATATCAAGCAACAGATGCACACTTGATGGCAAGGCATAAGAATCACAAGTTAGGGAACTGATCTCATCCTTTATTTAAATATATATTGCATCCCAGTGAGTGGGAAAAGCATGGCCCAGGGTCTATAATTTGGACTCCCAAGACCATTGGTACCAAGACTCCTCCACAGAAAGGCTGCAGAAAATGGAAAAGGCGAATTGTCCGTCTTGGAGGCTTCTAGGAACCATAGTTCACCTTTGAAGTGTGATCCATTTAACACCCAAATCTTCTTGATTTTTTAGAAGTGGACCTCTATCCAGCTCTGGTTGGTTTGTGGGGCCCATGAAAGGTCCCAAGGGCCAAAAAAAAAAAAAACTGGTTGCCAGCCCCTTCAGGCCCCGAAGTCTCTTTTCCTGGCCCTTGAGGCGGCTTCTCGGCTCCATAGAGGTGGCCTCCTCTCTACGGCAGCCAGGCTCCGCCACAACCAGCCAACCGCTGTGCTCATCACTTCCTGTTTTGGGTCCAAAACATCACTTCTTGTTTTGGATCCAAAACAAGATGGAGGCTCCTAACAGGCGAAGAAGGTGGACAGCTCCCCCGCGTTGGAGTAAGGTGCCCGAAGCACACTGTGCTCCTCTGGCACTGCTTCGCTCCCACTGCCAGGCTTCAGCCTCACTGAGGGGCAGCGGGAGCCAAGCGGTGCCAGAGGGCATCTCTCAGGTGCTGCTTGGCTCCTGCTGCTGAGCTTCAGCCTCACTGAGGGGCTCTTCCACTCCATGCTCGCCTCGGCTGTCAGTGCGGCGGCAGAGGAGGGGGAGGCGATGTGGTCGTCCAGCAAGTATATCACCTCCTCCTCCTCCACCGCACTGACAGCCGAGGCAGGCCTGGAATGCAAATGCCCCTCGGTGAAGTTGAAGCCCCGTAGTGGGAGGCAAGCGGCGCTGGAGGAGCACAGCAGCTGCTGCGGCTTCGGGTGCCCTGCTCCAGCACAGGGCAGCTGTTCTGGTACAGCTGTACCAGGAGCTCCAATTTTGTTTGCTTTACATTAAATGTTTGTTTGCAGTCCTAGGTTTCAGGGACTCTGCAGATAGGTGACTTCTTTTGGTTGCAGTTATAGGGCAGGACACCTGTCCATCATCATTAAGTTTTGGTCGCGCCCCTTGCTCAGGACAATTGGGAAGGGAGGGGAGCCATTTTTAAATTAGTCTCAGCAAGGTTAGCCAATGTACACGACGTGTGTAAAGCTTCCCCTGTACAAAAGCTTCAACCTTTAAGAATTCCAGGGAAGCAGCCCCAAAGCTTTGAAGAATTTCCAGGGTTACAGAAATTCCAACAGAAACAGAAGGAAAAGAGTCTCCAAAGACTTTCCAGGGAAACAGCCCTAAAGATCAAAGAACTCCAGCTGAAGAGACTACAGGCCTTGCTGGTAGGTCCACTTGGTGCTTTGAGATGCAGTTCAACCCAGTAGTGGTGCCCACATCAGTTAGGTTTAAGTTTACAGTCAGCCTTGGAGAAGTTAAAAAGTGGTTTTTCCTTTAAAGAAGAAGTTATTGAAGATAGTTGCCTGTCCTTCGTGGGCAAGTTTAGGAATTCACCAGTTACCTAAAAGCTTGGAATCATTTGCTTAATTTTACTGAAGACAAGAGAAGTTTCTGTTTGGTTGTTCATTAATAAAAAAACTTTGTTGTACTTCTCAAGCCATCTAAAGACTGTTTGTGGTGGAAACCTCTGAAAACTTCTCTTTGGGCCCCCGGCTTCCCATTGGGCAAAGGTTGCACGTCCTGTTTTAAAGACAACTATTTACAGGCCTAACGCACAACAGAACAGCAGCTGCCCGCCTCCCTTGCCTTGACCCAAAACAGGAAGTGATTTTTATAGCCAACGTAATAGACCACCCCCAAGTTCAGGGAGGATTTTCCTGGGTTAAAAAGTCATCTAATACACCAGAAAATACAGTATTCAGTGTCAAAAACAGCAAACCATGAGGGCTTCCCAATTTCATTGCTCACCTGCATGATATCCTGTAGGTTTTCAACAAAGGCCAGCTCTGCCTCCACCATATAAAATTCGGCCAAGTGCTTACGAGTTTGGGAATTGTCGGCACGGAAGGTTGGACCAAAAGAATAGACCTTGGTGAATGCCCTGTAATGGAAGAAAGGGAAAGTTTCTAAGGAGTGGCACGCCGTTCAGGAACTCCCTGTCACTAGAAATCAAGTAGTTCTCCCTTCTCTTTCCTGTCAAGCACCACTGAATGCATATCCTAGTAGAAGAAGTCCCCGAACGGACTTGGGCAGCTTATATGGAGCCAAGCCCAAGGCAGAATACAATTAAAAGCAAAACAATAACAATTAAGACAGCATAAAACAGAATAAAACAGTGTAACAATAACAGCAGTAACAGCAGACTAATTTTGGAGAAGTGGGGTAGAAGACCACTATGCGAGCTGGTTAAAGGATAAGGTGGTTCAATAAGGTGGATAACAATGTATAAAAGTATATGAAATATCATGAAAACAGAGCAAAATTAACAGGATCAGAATCAGAATAAATTCAGTTAATGTAATATAGGACAGAACATTTTATTGACATTGTGTGCCTTTAAGTTGCTTCCAATTCATGGTGACCCTCAAACAACCCTATCACAAGGTTTTCTTTGTAAAATATTTCACAGGAGTTTTGTATTGGCTTCTGAAGCTGAGAGAGTATGACTTGCCCAAGGTGATTTTGGCTCCATCTACACTAATGTTTCTCAACCTGGGGGTTGGGACCCCTGGGGGGGGGGCGGCGCAAGAGGGTGTCAGAGGGGTTGCCAAAGACCATCAGAAAACACAGTATTTTCTGTTTTCTGTTGATAATGGAGGTTCTGTGTGGGAAGTTTGGTGAACTATAAATCCCAGCAACTACAACCCCCAAATAACAAAATCATCCCCCCACCCCCAACTCCACCAGTATTCAAATTTGGACTCTGTCTTGGAGTTTGGTGGAGTCTCCATCTCTCAAGGTTTTCAAACAGATGCTACATGGCCATCTTTTGGGAGTGCTTTGATTGTTTCTTCCTGCATGGAATGGGGTTGGATTGGATGCTCCTTGGAGTAGCTTTCAACTTTATGATTCTATGATTCCAATGTTGTATGTGTGCCTGTGGACTTCCAGTGATAGCATGAATTTCCTTAGACAAGAAAGACACAGGTTGCTGTGAGTTTTCCGAGCTGTGTATCCATGTTCCAGAAGCATTCTCCCCTGATGTTTCACCCACATCTATGGCAGGCATCCTCAGAGGTTGTGAGGTCTGTTGGAAACTAGGCAAGTGGGGTTTATATATCTGTGGAATAATGTCCAGGGTGGGAGAAAGAACTTTTGTCTGTTTGAGGCAAGTGTGAATGTTGCAATTGGCCACCTTGATTAGCATTTATTGGCCTTGCAGCTTCAAAGTCTGGCTGCTTCTTGCCTGGGGGAATCCTTTGTTGGGAGGTGTAAGCTGACCCTGATGGTTTCCTGTTTGTAATCCCTCTGTTTTCTGAGTGTTGTTCTTTATTTACTGTGATGATTTTAGAGTTTTTTTTAATACTGGAAGCCAGATTGTGTTAATTTTCATGGTTTCCTCCTTTCTGTCGAAATTGTCCACATGCTTGTGGATTTCAGTGGTTTCTCTGTGTAGCCTGACACGGTGGTTGTTAAGAGTGGTCCAGCATTTCTGTGTACACAAATAATATACTGTGTCCAGGTTGCTTCATTGGGTGCTCTGCTATTGCTGACTTCTCTGGTTGAAGTAATCCGCAGTGCCTTTCATGTTCCTTCATTCGTGTTTGGGTAATGCTGCGTTTGGTGGTCCCTATGTAGTTTTCATGCAAAAGAGTAGATCAATAGGTACCACTTTGGTGGGAAGATAACGGCGCTCCATGCAGTCATGCTGTCCACATGACCTTGGAGATGTCTATGGACAACGCCGGCTCTTCGGCTTAGAAATGGAGATGAGCACCAACCCCCAGAGTCAGACATGACTGGAATTAGCGTCAGGGAACAACCTTTACCTTTTTAAATGTAGTTTTCTAGGCTGTATTTCCATACAGCCTGGAAAACTCACAGCAACCCAGTGATTGCAGCCACGAAAGCCTTTGACAACACAAGGCACAGGTTGTTTTGTCAGTTGGCATACTCATTAATGTGGGATTTCCCCCTCCTTCTATACATTTTCCTTCTCTCTTCTTTTTTATTTGGCCAGCACAGATTCACAAGTAGCAAATGTTTTGACCCATTCGAAGTCCATCCATTATATAAATCAGTCTGCCTGACCAGTAACTGGGAGAGTGTTGAGAACAAGAAGTCAGTCTGAAGATACTCACGAGACTTATTGACATTATAACCACAATTCAAGCTATTAATCCACTTATTTTAAAGCCTGTTGACTGGAAAACAAACACAGTCTCCTCCGAGGCAACAACATATGCGAAAATAGTTCAATTTGGGTAATCCCTTACGGATTGCCGACGCGGCACTTGTAAGAAGTAAATAACACTAATGGCACAGAGAAGAATAAATTGAGGTTGAGAAGGAGAAATTATAAGAGAATACACAAGCCCAACCGCAACCTCCTCCAACTTTTCTGACACCGACATTTCCTTGGTTTGCCCAAAAGCAAAGCAGGAGTGTTAAATGACTCCTCTGTGCAGATCCACTGAACCAGCCTTTCCACGTTCCAAAACAGAGGACAAAGAATAAAAGGAAGACAGGATGCCAAAAAATAATGCTGCTTGTGGCCACCCAACCTGTTCCTCCGGCGATCCTGGCACCGAATCCGGTAACACGCTGCCCTAATCCGAGAGGCATTGTGAAGGGCTTAGCTTCCACCCCCTGAAGCCACAAATGCTGAGATGCGCAAACAGCGTTTAAAGCCTGAAAAGATCCCTGCGTATCTGTAGGTTGCAGATAAGAATATTTAAGGGTGAAGTTTTTCTTTTTCTTTGGGGGGTACGTCAGGGGGTTCAGGCATTGGCAACTGCATCTTATGATCAGTGTTTTTGCAAAGTCAAAGGAGACCAAATCATGGCTGTTGAAAACAGTCTACACAGATGGGACACAGACTCATAGAGCTGAGTTTAAGTTTTCTTGTAGGATTCACAGAATTTTAAGAAATTGTCAACTGAAGGCAACACTACCACTAAACACCCTGCCATCATAGATATTCTTTTTCTAATATTTACATAGAGGTAGCCTTGCCTCTGTTGCCTGAAGACAGCCTTTGTTTGAGAGGTGTTAACTAGCCCTTGATTGCTTGCTGTCTGGAGTTCTCCTGTTTCTCAGTGGTGGTTTATATTTACTATCTTTATTCTGGTCCCAAAGTGCAGCCTGTTCAGTGCCTTCCATGTCTCCCAGTCTTTTGCATGCCCAAGAGGAGTCTCTCATTTGGTATCAGCCATGGCTTGAAGTTCCATGTCTTAGTCTGCCACTTTTGGACTATCGCTTGCTGAGGTGTTCCTGCGAGTATCTCTGTAGATCTTAGGAAGTGATGTATTCCAGGACTGGAAAAGCCCTCTCACTTTAAACACCAAAAGTTGAATAGGAAAACAATCCTTTTATTTGAGATAATTAAAAAGCAGTAAACTAAAAAGCACTTTAAAGAAATAGGTAAATCCAATTAGGTAAGAAGATAAGCAGGAACAAAATAGTCCAGGGTAAAGTTCAGCAAAGTCCATGAAAACAAATCCACACTTCTATAATATAATCCAGAAAACCAGGAAACATTAATCCAAGGAATGAGTATGTAGTCATAAAATCCAAAAATCAAAATCATGAAACAAAAAAAATACTTAAGCATGAATCTTCCATGTTAGGCTTCTATGAAACAAGGACGAGAACTTAACTTGATTCCTACTGATGCTTCATCTGGCTACATTTCCTGTACTTGGAACTTTTATCCCCTCGTTAAGCTATCCCAAGCACTCAGGAATTAGTTTTGCTTTAATTGAGATTCTACTATCTTTTTCTGTCGGAGCCTGGCAGAACGTCGAAGCCACTGTTCAGCTAGTCTGTTTTGATTAATCTCCTGCCGTTTATCTATTTCCTCATTAACTTCTGCAGGTGCTGAGTTGTTTTCAATCCCCAAATCCTGGGAACTCTCTGGTAGTAATTCAGGGAGCACACCATCATCCCTACACCCTTCAGGGACATTCTCATGGGAAACTACACTTTGAACAGGGATCACCTATTCATTCTTTGCATCAATATCATTGACCAAACCATTGCCATCTTGAAACTCATTGACATCACTCCCCACATCCAAAGCACCCTGATCCTGAAACACAATAATAGAATCATAGAATTAAAGAGTTGGAAGAGACCTCATGGGCCATCCAGTCCAACCCCCTGCCAAGAAGCAGGAATATTGCATTCAAATCACCCCTGACAGATGGCCATCCAGCCTCTATTTAAAAGCTTCAGTGCCTTCCATGTCTCCCAGTCTTGTGTGTGCCCAGGAGGAGTCTCTCATTTGGTATCAGCCATGGCTTCAGGTTCCAGGTCTTAGTCTGCCACTTTGGGACTCTCGCTTGCTGAGGTGTTCGTGCGAGTATCTCTGTAGATCTTAGGAATCACAGGCTGAGCTCCAACAGGAAGCTATTTCTTGATTTAATGTGTTCGCATGCTGGCTGATATCCGAACAGAGGATGAGCCAGAGTTGTCACTGCCTTGGTCCTTTCATTATCGGCTGCTACTTCCTGGCAGATGTCAGGTGGTGCAATAGCGGCAAAACAGTATAATTTTTCCAATGGTGTGGGGCGTAGACATCCTGCGATAATGCAGCATGCCTCATTATGAGCCAAAGCTTTAGGTGCTCTTACTGTCTATTACAGGGAAAACCAGCTGCTTCCTAATCCATCTAAAACACAGATGTGTGCTTTCCATCTTAAAAGCAGACAAGCATCTTGAGCTCTGAGGATTAACTGAGAAGATATCTCACTGGAGCATTTAAGAATACTAAAATATTTGGACCAAAACTCTGGACCATGCTCTGACTTACAAGAAGCACTACTTGAATATCAAGCAAAAAGTGGGTGCTAGAAACAATGTCAAACGAAAGCTGACTGGCACAACCTGGGGATCACAACCAGACACAGTGAAGACATCTGCCCTTGTGCTTTGCTATTC